TTCTGTAATCCCCTCCTACCTCCTCTCAACTTCGGCTGGCTTCCTCAGGTTGGCGCGGTTGCTGCTTTTCACATTCTTCACCACCCTAATATCTCGAGTAGAATCCGCATTCCAGCCGTTCAACTTTCATACAGGGCGTCCATTTCCAGTGTTCTTTGCCTTGGCGACGGCAGCCTTAGCGAGCCTCTTGCAACTCTTGTAGGCAGCGAGGTCCTCGGGGCTCCGGGTCTTCTGCCAGCGCTTGTATGCTTCCTTCTTCTGCTTCACGACTCGCTGGACCTCCTCGTTCCAGAACCACGCTGCCTTGTCTCCTCTGATTCCACCTCGCGTCTCGCCCAGTACCTCCTTGGCACATCGCAGGATGGTCTCAGCCGCGTTGCTCCAATGTCCGCTGATTTGGAGACCGACTTCCATTATCCTTCGTTTGAGGTCATCCTTCTCCGCTTGGTGCAACTTCCACCACCGGATTCTCCTCTCGGTTCTTACCCTTGTCTTCTTGGGAGGTCTATGGCAATGTCTGCCAGGAGGGGCCTGTGCTGGGAGCCAGTTCTTCGCCAGGGAGTACCTTGATATCCTTCACAGTTTTGAGGGATGATCTTCTTACCAGCACATGGTCGATTTCCGTCTGTCTCCCTCCACTGCTGTAGGTTACCTTCTGAGTCTCCCTTTTCGCGAAGAACGTGCTGCAGATTGCCAGATCGTGGGTGTAGCCAGGTCCAGAACCCTCTCTCCTTAGCGTTCCTCGTTCCTATCCCTCTACCATCCGTGTACCCCTTTCAGGCTCACCTGCTATGGTTAAGTAATCGCCTTCCGAAATCGATCTGATGGTATCGTCAAGGCTCAGGTAGAACTCGTCCTCACTCTCGGGGCATCCGGTCTGCGGTGCGTACACGGAGAGTATTGTCCAGTACCCCTCCTTCGTGTCTATCCTCACAGCCATGATCCGATCGCTGATCCTGTTCACAGCGGAGACATAGTCCTTGAGCGACTCCGCTACCGCTATGGCCACACCGTTCCGCTTGGTGTCTTCTCCATTGTAGTAGAGTTTGACACCTTCCCCGATTTCCCTGGCCTTAGCACCTTTCCATCGCGTCTCCTGAAGGCATAGGACTTGGATATTCCTGCGCGTCATCAGATCAGCAACCTCTCGGGACTTCCCA